ACGATGCACCCGAAGGGAACCCCAGTGCCAACACCGACCGTTGAGGTACAATATGCCGCCAAAGAGGAAGGGAAGGACCCAGCCTCGGCTTGAAGTGCAAAAATACAAGCTGCTTCGGCAGCCGATGATTCTTATCGGCACGCAGGTCAAGTTCCTCGGATCGTTCTGGGAAGGGCGAAAGTTCACCACGGAGGATGGCCTGCTCAACGAGTTCGCCATGATGTGGGCGCTGCGCAACAAGTTCCCGCTGCACTACGTTCTCTTCAAGCAGACTGCGTGCCACCTGCCGCGCGAGGCCAACGTCGAGCAGATCTTCTCTCGCGCTGGGCTGCTGGCAGACCCCAACCTCAACCCGGCCCACCTCGCTGTGCTGGTCAGGATTGGCTTCAACAAGAAGGCCTTCGAGCCGGCAGTGGCAGCGATCAAGGAGAAGTACTACGAGCTGTTCCGAGGCAAAGGGGGCGAGCACAAGGAGGGCTCCTCGGGCGTGGCCGGTGCGGCATCTTCATCGCCTCCCGGGCTGCCCTGGTCGCCTTCGTCTTCGGATCGGCGAGGCTGGAGGCGGCGAGGGTGGAGGCGAGGGTGGAGGCGAGGGTGGTGGTGGCGGCGTGGGGGGCGGCGGCATCGAGGGCGGCTGCGGCGGCAGCGGCGAGGGCGGCGGCCGCTGGGGCGACGGCGAGGTCGGAGGGGGCAGCGACGGAGACGGTGGGGAGGGCGGCGGCAGCGGCAGCGGCGAGGACGGTGGGGGCGGCGAGGGCGGCGAGGGCGGCGGCTCTGGCGGCGGCAATAGCAGCCACCCCGCGGGCAGCAATGAGGTCAAAAAAGTGATAGGCGGCGGGCGCGGCGGCGGAGGCGACGGCGCCGGTGAATATATTTTTTCGTAGCACGTCGTGCCGCTCGAGGGCGTTGCGCCCGCAATCGCGTCCTCCGGTGCTGGCGCCTTATAGGTCTTGCACACGACCTGACCTCCGACGAGCGGAGCGTAAAAGCTGTAGCCGACGCAGAAAGCGCCGACGTCGCAGGACTGGCGGCAAGTGGCGTGATTATCTGCGTAGGAGAGGCTGTTGGACGTCGACGCGGAGTCGTACTTCCCAGGGCCGCCGATGCGGTCTACACACGCGCCAGCTCGCCCGAGGTACCAGACCATATTCTGGGCACCCTGCCCGGCCATTCACGTAAACGCACAACCCCGGGCCCGAAATTGCACAGAGTCACGCAACACGGGGTCCCAGGGAAGGCGAGCAAAAACCTTATCGCGCGCGCTAGACGCCGACTCGGAGGCCCGGCCATTCACGGCAAGAGAAGCTCCGTTCACGTAAACGCACAACCCGGACCCAGTGTGTACTTTTTTTGCTTGGGCGGACTTGATGAAATTCTGCAAAAACCTGACCGGCCCCTGCCCTGCCCCTACCTACCTTCCTACCTACCTACCTTACCTGTGAGTGAGTATTCTTTGACACACACACACACACACACACACACACACACACACACACACTACCTTACCTATGGGAAACTAAAAAAGAAATCACTCGATGGGTGAAGATGGGGTACTATACCAACTAGAGTGATGGTTGGTGGTACTCTCCTGCAATCACAGTCCTTCTTGTGACATGGCAGGCCACTCTCAAGCCCTACCAGCATCAGATCACCCATTTGGGAGGGTTCACGTAAGCTCCGTTCCACACAAAAACAAGCTCAGACAGTCGAGAAAGGGATAGACCGCAACGCCAGCCACCTCAAGCGGGGCCGCCCCTTCGGCGGCGAGGACATTCCAGGGGCGGCGCCGACCGACTGACCGCGCCCTTATTAGGGTTCCGCTGCGCGGCCTCGGCGTAACCGAGAGAGAGAGATTTTTAGCCCCCCGCTACCCAGTTGCACTCGTGCGACGTAGCGGGGGGCCACGACTACGTTTACGAAAACATAAGTAGTCCCGCGAGGTGTGAATTTGGCCGCCCCAGTTAGCCCCATTTCGCCTCTCGCGTCGCAGCAAAAATTTTGACGATGCACGCGCCCCAAAAGCGGCGGCAAAGGGCGGGTGGACGCAGTGCGTTCGCCGTTGCCTCTGAGCAATGGCCGAGGCCGGCGCGAAGGCTGCAGTCGCTGCGCTCAAGGAATACTCAAGTGCGGTGGTACTCATGAGTTGAGTACTCACGATGCGCGTGTATTATGAGTACAATACTTGAATACTGTTGTAATCTTGAACTGCCTTGCCGCGGCCTCCGCCGCGGAAGGTGGCCCGCGCCTTCGCGAATCCCGTCTTGCGGCTTTTGCCGGATGCCCACCGCTTGGCCTCATTGCGGGGGCGGCCACCGGGCCGTGCTGTGGCCGCCCCCGTAGCTCGCGAAGCTGCGAACCGGGCTGCGTCCGCTGCCGCGCCGGCGCGCCGCGACCGTCGGCGGCCCGCGGACTCGGTTTTTCGCGGCCTGCGCCGGAGAGTTGGCGGTCGTGCGCTGGGTGGTAATCGTCATCTGTCTGCTCTGCTGTGCTTCTCGCTCGTGCGTCCTTGGGAAGTTTGCCATACTTCCTTTCGCCTCCTGCTCTCCTATGCCACGTGGCTGTGTGTGTTTGGGTTTCTATGTTTGCGATTTGGATTTTGGATTTTCTACGACTCTTTGTTTATTTATTTATGCTCCCTATAGGCGCTCGGCGCCCATTCGCTCGCAACGAACATGACTGCCCTGTGCGCCCGCCGACTTGCCTCTTCTCAAGACGATGTTGTGTGTGGGGTGGCATGTGCCGGCTGACGACAGAATCGAGATCAGTGGAGTCTTTCCTCGCCATCCAGGCCTGCCAGTCAGGCCGACGAGCTCCGACTGGAGCCGGCCGCCCGGGTCATGCGTGGACTGGCAATCGGCAGACCTTCTTCGCAAATTTAGCTTTCAGGCCTGGTTTCAGCAGCCTCGTCAAATACACTCGAGGCGCCCGGGGAGCCGTTTCCGAAACGCCGTTTGACTCGCAGGAAAAAAGAATTCAAGCATATCCCGGAGCGAACTCCCCCGCACAGCACACAAGGGAAAAGAAAGCGCCTGCGCGTCTCTCGGGCTCGGCGAGCCCGCGCGCGGGGGCGGCGGAGCTCGTTGCTTCTACACCTACTACAGGAATACCCGCAGAGCGCGATCCAGCTGTGCCGACGCCACCGCCTTCTAGCTGCCGAATCTGTTAGTCGTGAATGGAGATACATTTTCCTGTACCGGCGCAACGAGCGGATTGCTCATCTTGACAGTGTTGTCGGCGTTGTGCGTGCGTGTTGGCAGGGGCAGGTCGCCGTCATCATCAAGCTCCTTGGAGGGTATCAGGTCGCCCCGGCCGCCGTTGCTGCCGCCGAGGATGGCTGCGAGCACAAGCGCGGCCGAGAAGAGCAGGTCGACGGTGAGGTAGACACCAATGTACTCGCGCGCCTTGGCGTCGTCCTTCACCGTCGCGGCGTCCGTGGCCTATGAGAGATAGTCGGCTGTGATAGATAGTCGACTGCGAGAGATCCTCCGAAGGTTATTTTTTTCACCAGCTCTCCGGGCCAGAGTAGGTGGTGCACCCCTTGCTTGATGTCGACGTCGTTGTGCCAGCCGCGCGCGAAGAGGTAGTGGAAGCTCGCCATGTGGATGAGCCACACGCCCGGCATCACCCACGCGTATGCGACGCACGCGTTGGCGAGGCTGGCCACGCCCTGCGGCGGGTTGTGCGCATGCACAAAGCTGGCTAGCAGGAGGGCGGCGGCTTGGCCAATGAGGGCCCAGCCAAGGACGACGTGCCACGCGGTGCCGACGGCGGACTTGTCGTGGATGTGCGAGAGAAAGAGGACGCCGAGGGCGGCGTAGCAAATGGGCTCAAGGAGGCGTCGCGCCTCCTGCAGACGCGCGGCGCGCGGTGCGGGGAGCACAGACTGCAGCGTGCCAGTGAGGACGAGGCAGCCGACCACTATAAACATCAGCTCATGCGCAACGTGCGCGACGTGCAGCCCACGGCCCAGCAGAGTCTGGTACCACTGCCCCACCGCAAGGAGTAGCAGCACGGCGAGGGTGCAGACGCCCTGCGAGGCGGCGATGGGAAAGGGCAGGCCGCTCGAGCCTAGCGCGAGCACGCCGCCCCGCATGAGGAGAAGGCCAGGGATGAGATGCGGGTAGAATTCTCCCGTGTTGATGCCTAACACGAACGCCTGCTGCACACAACCAAGCGCCGCGAAGACGAGCGCCAGCAGCCGCACCGGCAACGCGCTATGGTAGAGGACCACCGGCCAAACGAGCGCTGTTTGGACGACGGTGACAGCAGCGCGGGCGGCATCCGTGGTGACAGGCCATGCATGTGGGACGACGAGGAGCACGGTCGCGCAGGCAAGGGCGAGAGAAGTTGTGTAGCGGAGCATCGCTGGCGTTCGAATCAGGGAGCTGAGTCGCGGCGCCCTTGGGCGGCCGAGACGGCGCCGGACGGGCTTGTGTTGCGGTGTGTGAAGAGCCGCCGTTCACACTTTCTGCTATGCAGCGCTCGGCTCGCCGACTCACGAGACGGCCTTCGCGGTGCGTGCGCAGCGCGTGCTCCTCCGCACGCGCCGCGCTCTCAACGCGGCGCGCAGCGCCGCTAGAGCGGCTTGACGGCGAAAAACACTTAGCGGCTTCGAGGTGTGTGAAGAGACGGTTCTCACACTTTTCGACTCGGATAGGGCTCGAGACGCCGATTCATCAGCCGTCGTCCAAGGGGCGTGTCGCGTGTGTGCTGCGCTGCACGCTCGGCGCTGAGAGCACGGCGCGGAGCGCCCTTGGGGCGGTGAGAAGGCGCCGGACGGCGCTCACGTGGTGTCGAGGTGTGAAGAGGCGCCGTTCACACTTTTTGCTATGAACAGGGCTCGGATCGCCGACTCACGAGACGGCCTTCACGGTGCGTGGGCAGCGCGTGCTTCTCTGTACGCGCCGCGCTCTCTTTGCGGCGCGCAATAAATAAAGAAAGAAAAGGGACGCACCAAACAAGGGGTGGGAGAAGGACAGGGTCCCCACCTGCACGAGCAGGATCTTGTAAGGACGATCAGGGACACAGGGGAACCGCCCGTGCAAATTCTTTTTCGGTCCCGCGCTCGGCGAAGACAGCTCCAGCGTGTACGCTCTCAAGCCTTGAACTTTCAGAATCCATGCCTTTTTCCGACACCGACTCCGTTCCGACGAACGATTCGATCGCCCGCATGGCGCTCTCTTTCGCCGAGCTGCACGCGCGGCTCGCCTACATCGAGGGGCGTGGGCCGCCCGCTGTGGGTCCGACTCTCGCGCTCGCGCTGTCGCCAAAGTCGCCAAAGCGGCAGCGCATCGCCGTCACGCCAGCTCGCGCGGCGCCGCTCGCCACGCCGCGGCCCGGGACCGACGATGCGTCCGCGCCAGTGGCGAGCGCGCCGCCTGCCGAGGCGCCTGCTCCAACCGCCGCAGAGGCGGCCGCACAGGGAGGCGGGCAACCATCAAACGACGCGACCACCACGGCCTCTCTGCACGGCTCGGAGACCGCACGCTCGCCATCCCCGCCCGTCGAGCCGCCTCCGCCGCCTCCGCCGCCGCCGGCTGCACGCCCGCAGGCCGAGCTGCAGGCGGAGGCGCCAGCGCATCCCGCCCCGGCAGAGGCGGTGCAGCCCGCCCAGCCCGCCCTCGCGGCGCCGCTAGAGGCGAGGCGAGGCGACGAGCGCGGGGGAGGGAGGGGGGGGGAGCGACCCGCGGAAGCGGAGGCGGAGGTGGACGCGGCGGCGGCGGCGGCGGCGGCGGCGGAGACGGCGGCGGAGGCGGCGGCAGCAATGGAGGCGGCGGCGGCGGAGGCGGCGGCGGCAACGGAGGTGGCGGCGGCGGAGGCGGCGGCGGCGGCGGCGGCGGCAGCGAGCGAGGAGGCGGGAGTCGGGCGAGGCGGCGGCGAGGCAGCGGCGAGCGCCCTGCACAGCGCGACGCTTGCGCTGCCCGAGGGGGAAGGGCGTGTCACGCGGGTGGTGCGCTGCCTGTGCCTGCCGGACGGGAGGATCGTCGTGCTCGAGGCGACGGGGGTAGGGAGAGAGAGGAGAGAGAGAGAGGAGGAGGAGGAGGAGGAGGAGGAGAGAGAGAGAGGGAGGTGTGGAGGGAGGGGCAGGGGCAGGAGGGGTGGAAGGGAGCAGGCAGCGGGGTAGGGAGAGCGGAGAGCAAAGGAGAGTCGCCGGCGATCCCCCCCCCCCCCCCCCGCCCCTGCAGTCGTCGCGCGTCCTCCTCTGGGAGCGGACGGGCGCCGGCGCGAGCGAGTGGTTGATGGCTGCCGCCTTCGCCGCCGGCCCGAGGGACGTGCTGAGCTGCGCCGCCTTCGAGGGCGCTCGCACCACCTCCTCCCCGCGCCAGCCCTCGCCGCAGCTCCTCGCAGCGGCGGGCGTGCTCTCCCCCGGCGGCGTCGCCCTCGTCTACCGCCTCGACCCGCCCGCCGGACGGTGCCGCGCCCGCCACCTCGCCTCCGCCCCGCCCAACCCTTCCTCCTGCCCCCCCATCGTCCCGGCGCCCGCGCGTCGCCGCAGGAGCGCCCCGTGGCCCTCGCTGGGCGCGCAGCTGCCGCCGCGGCCGGCCGCCCTCCGACTCGAGGGCGAGCACGCCATCCTCTGCGCGGCGCTCCTCCGCACCTTCTCCGCCGACGGCGTCGCCGAGCCGGCGGACGACGAGCGCGGCTCCTCCGGCTCCGGCGCGCTCCTCGTCCTCGCCGCAGGCTGCGCCGACGGCGCCGTCCGCACCTGGCACCTCTCCGGCGCCTCCCTCTCCTCCGCCTCGCGCGCGCGGCCGGTCGAGCTGCCGTCGGCGCACGCGGTGCCGACGCGAGGCGCCGCCAGCTGCACCGGCCCAGCGGTGGGCGGCTTGACTTCGTTTGCGAATGGAACCGCAGGTGCTGCGCGAGGCGCCGCCAAGGGGTGTTGCTTGCCCGGCGGCGCCGTCAGTGCCGCTCTCTCTGCTCTGCCTGTCGCCCCGCACCGGGCTCGGCCTGCTAGTCGCGGCCTTCGAGTGGGGCGCCGCCGTTTGGCAGGTCGCGACCGGCTGCTTGGTCAACGTGTTTGTGAAGCTTCCGCCGCCCGCCGGCCCGGCGCTGCAAGACGCGCTGCTGCAGCCCCTCGACAGGTCGCTGCTGCTTCTCGACTGCACGGGCGAGGCGGACGAGGCGCGGCTGGCGGCGCGCAGGCCGGCTCGAGACGTCGAGGGCGAGGACGAGGGCGAGGTTGCGGACGAGGCGCGCGTGCTCGGCCGCTTCGTCGTGAGCACGGCGCTGGGCTGGCGCGCGGCCGCGTCGCCGTCGGTGCTCGTGCAGCGGTTCGCCGTCACGCGGGCGGGCTGCGAGGCGGACGGCGACCTGCGGGCGGGGGGCGGGGGCGGAGAGGGGGCGGAGGGCGGGGAGGGGCGGGCGGGGGGGGAGCGGCAGGTGGCTGTCGCCCTCGCCGGCTGCTCCTCCCACCTCGCCGCGATCTCGGCCGCCGGCAGAGTGCACGTGTGGGCGCACGGCTCGGCGGACTGCCTCCTGACGCTCTCGATCGCGCCGGAGAGCGTCGTGTACCCGTGCCTGGCGGGCTACGCGGCGGCGCACGGCGCGGGCGTGGGCGAGGCGCGCGCGGGCGCGCTGCTGCTCCTGCTCGCGCTGCAGGCCGGCCGGACCGTGACCGTGGTGACGAGGCCGCTCGAGGAGGGGCGGCCGGGCGAGGGGCTGGTCGGCGCGGTGCCGCTCGCAGTGTGCGCCGCCGGCGCGCACGGACCGACCCTCCGCTTTCCGGGGCTGGCCCAGGGCTTGCCGGCCCCTCCCCCGGCCGAGGCGGCCGTGCGGCAAGGGCCGGCCCGGCCGACGGCGGCGTCGCAGTCTCTCTCCGGCTTCCTGCTGGAGGAGTCGCAGAGCCAGCGGAGTGAGGCCATCACGCCGGACAAGCCGGGCTTCATCTACTGAAAGTGCGGGGCACTGCGTGTGCCACCGCCCAACGCCCACCGCCACACCGCTTCACTTACGGCTCTACATGCATGGTACGTTCAGGGTCACAGCTCACACTGTTGTGTGTTGAGCGCACGTGGAGACTCTCATTGAGCGACGTTGACTGCCTTTGGCTGTGACCTGTGTGGGACTACTGTCCACCGTCGGCTCTGCTATTTTCATCGTCAGCTCTGCTATTTATCTCTCACATTTTTCACGCACGCGCACGCCCACGCGGCATTCGTGATCTCGAGAACACCTAGAGACGAACAGAGAGAACACATGTGCATGCACATGTCTGGGGTGGCTCGTCCCCACCGCCCACCCGCACCGGAAGCATATACGTGTACCCTAAGTTTCTCCGAGACCTCGCGACCGGGCAGTTTTATTCACACCTCGGCAGTGTCCATACACATCACACTCTCCCGCGATTCGCGCGTAGCAGGGGGAACGCTCCGCCCTCCGCCCTTCAATGCGCGTGTACGGCCACCACATGGCGTGGCGTGCCCACGTTAACGGAGACACCATGCGCTCACGCTCACGGAGAGGGCCTACGCGCCCTCCCCACTCTTCCCCTTGGACGCCGCGCTCAGGCGCCTTCGGCTGCGCGTGCACCCCCCCAAGCGGCCATGTTGGCCTTGGAGTGAGCACTGTCGGTCAGACTCTGGGCGGCCGCGCGCGGTGGTCTCTTGTCCCCTCCGGAGACGGAGGGCTCTGACTCGGACCGCGCGCGCTGGCCTGCCCCTGTCTGGTCCGGGACTTCCGTTGTGGGAGGGGGTCTGGTCTCCGACTAGGCTCCCTCCCCGCGGGTTGTCTGCGGGCTACCTGGTTGATCCTGCCAGTAGTCATATGCTTGTCTCAAAGATTAAGCCATGCATGTCTAAGTATAAGCGACTATACTGTGAAACTGCGAATGGCTCATTAAATCAGTTATGGTTTATTTGATGGTACCTTGCTACTTGGATAACCGTAGTAATTCTAGAGCTAATACATGCAGGAGTTCCCGACTCACGGAGGGATGTATTTATTAGATAAGAAACCAAACCGGTCTCCGGTTGCGTGCTGAGTCATAATAACTGCTCGAATCGCACGGCTCTACGCCGGCGATGGTTCATTCAAATTTCTGCCCTATCAGCTTTCGATGGTAGGATAGAGGCCTACCATGGCGTTAACGGGTAACGGAGAATTAGGGTTCGATTCCGGAGAGGGAGCCTGAGAAATGGCTACCACATCCAAGGAAGGCAGCAGGCGCGTAAATTGCCCGAATCCTGACACAGGGAGGTAGTGACAAGAAATAACAATACAGGGCTATTTTAGTCTTGTAATTGGAATGAGTACAATTTACATCTCTTCACGAGGATCAATTGGAGGGCAAGTCTGGTGCCAGCAGCCGCGGTAATTCCAGCTCCAATAGCGTATATTAAAGTTGTTGCAGTTAAAACGCTCGTAGTCGGATTTCGGGGCGGGCCGACCGGTCTGCCGATGGGTATGCACTGGCCGGCGCGTCCTTCCACCCGGAGACCGCGCCTACTCTTAACTGAGCGGGCGCGGGAGACGGGTCTTTTACTTTGAAAAAATCAGAGTGTTTCAAGCAGGCAGTCGCTCTTGCATGGATTAGCATGGGATAATGAAATAGGACTCTGGTGCTATTTTGTTGGTTTCGAACACCGGAGTAATGATTAACAGGGACAGTCAGGGGCACTCGTATTCCGCCGAGAGAGGTGAAATTCTCAGACCAGCGGAAGACGAACCACTGCGAAAGCATTTGCCAGGGATGTTTTCACTGATCAAGAACGAAAGTTAGGGGATCGAAGACGATCAGATACCGTCGTAGTCTTAACCATAAACCATGCCGACTAGGGATTGGAGGATGTTCCATTTGTGACTCCTTCAGCACCTTTCGGGAAACTAAAGTCTTTGGGTTCCGGGGGGAGTATGGTCGCAAGGCTGAAACTTAAAGGAATTGACGGAAGGGCACCACCAGGAGTGGAGCCTGCGGCTTAATTTGACTCAACACGGGGAAACTTACCAGGTCCAGACATTGTGAGGATTGACAGATTGAGAGCTCTTTCTTGATTCGATGGGTGGTGGTGCATGGCCGTTCTTAGTTGGTGGAGTGATTTGTCTGGTTAATTCCGTTAACGAACGAGACCGCAGCCTGCTAAATAGCGACGCGAACCCTCCGTTCGCTGGAGCTTCTTAGAGGGACAACTTGTCTTCAACAAGTGGAAGTTCGCGGCAATAACAGGTCTGTGATGCCCTTAGATGTTCTGGGCCGCACGCGCGCTACACTGATGCACTCAACGAGTCTATCACCTTGACCGAGAGGTCCGGGTAATCTTTTGAAATTGCATCGTGATGGGGATAGATTATTGCAACTATTAATCTTCAACGAGGAATTCCTAGTAAGCGTGTGTCATCAGCGCACGTTGATTACGTCCCTGCCCTTTGTACACACCGCCCGTCGCTCCTACCGATTGAATGATCCGGTGAGGCCCCCGGACTGCGGCGCCGCAGCTGGTTCTCCAGCCGCGACGCCGCGGGAAGCTGTCCGAACCTTATCATTTAGAGGAAGGAGAAGTCGTAACAAGGTTTCCGTAGGTGAACCTGCGGAAGGATCATTACCGGTCTTTCCAACCCACACCGATGTTGCACCGTACCCCGTCTAACCCCGTCGCGGGCTCCGCGTTCGCGCGGAGCGCGCGGCTGTCCGGGGGGCTCTCCTGAGCCGACCCGGGCCCGCACCCCTCTTGTCTCGCGCCTGGGTGAGTGTGGAGTGCACGTGTGCGCCTCGGGCGCGCGCGTGGCTCTCCCCTCCCCACGGCCCCCTCTCTTGCGCAGCGCGGGCTCTCACGCCGGCGCTGCCTCAAACCATGAAACCCCACAACTCCTGCCGATGGATATCTTGGCTCTCGCAACGATGAAGAACGCAGCGAAATGCGATACGTAGTGCGAATTGCAGAATTCAGTGAATCATCGAACCTTTGAACGCAAATGGCGCATCCGGGCTCCGCTCGGACGCATGTCTCTTCGAGGGGCGCCTCCATCCTCCTCGGAGCGAGAGAGCTCTCTCTCTCGTCTCCGGAGCCGGCGGCCGCGCGGGGGAGCCTCGGCTCCCCCGCGCGCCCGCCCAAGGCTGCCTTGCGAGCGCGGCGGCGGCGTCTAACCCGCGTCCCCGCCGGAGTGCTAAGTCCACGACTAGACCTCCGGCGGACGCGTGCCCCGTTCTGCCTCGCGACCCCCGGCGTGCGCGGTGCCTCTCCTCTCCTTTCGGAGAGCGAGGCCCGCCCGCCCCGGCGCGCGGCCGCTCTCTCTGTGCGGCCGCGCGTCTCGAAACCCGCCATCGAATGAGGCAAGACTACCCGCTGAACTTAAGCATATCACTAAGCGGAGGAGAAGAAACTAACCAGGATGCCCCTAGTAATGGCGAATGAAGCGGGCTGAGCTCACGCTGCCAATCTGGAGGCCTCGCGTATGCAGCGCCCCCCGAATTGTGGTCTAGAGAGGCGTTATCGGCCGCGCCCGCCGCTCAAGTCCCTTGGAACAGGGTGTCGGAGAGGGTGAGAATCCCGTACCGTGGCGGGTTGCGGCCTTACGATGCGTCCTCGTCGAGTCGGGTTGCTTGGGATTGCAGCTTGAATTGGGTGGTAAATTCCATCTAAAGCTAAATACTGGCGAGAGACCGATAGCGAACAAGTACCGTGAGGGAAAGATGCAAAGAACTTTGAAAAGAGAGTCAAAGAGTGCTTGAAATCGGTAGGAGGAAACCCGGATGGGCCCGGCTTCGGCGCGCCGACTCAGCCTGGGGTTCTCCCCAGGTGCACTTCTGCGCGCCGGGTCAGCCGCGCCTCGGCGCCGCGCCTCAACCCGGGAGCGGGGCTTTACGGCCAGCTCCCGTCCTGGCGCGGCCCGGGGCCCGGCTGACGGAACGGGCCCCTCCGACCCGTCTAGAAACACGGACCAAGGAGTCTGACACGTGTGCGAGTACCCGGGTGGCAAGCCCGCGTGCGGAATGAAAGTGAAGGGCATGCCCTGCCAACCGACCTTGACCTGCTGTGAGGGGTTTGAGTGGAGCACACCTGTCGGGACCCGAAAGATGGTGAACTATGCCTGGGTAGGGTGAAGCCAGAGGAAACTCTGGTGGAGGCTCGTAGCGATACTGACGTGCAAATCGTTCGTCGAATCTGGGTATAGGGGCGAAAGACTAATCGAACCATCTAGTAGCTGGTTCCCTCCGAAGTTTCCCTCAGGATAGCTTGAACGCAACGGTTTTGTCAGGTAAAGCGAATGATTAGAGGCCTGTGGGCTGAAACAGCTTGCACCTATTCTCAAACTTTAAATGGGCAAGAGGCCCGGGATGCTTGAGTGATCCCGGGCGGCGAACGGCGCGTTCAAAGTGGGCCATTTTTGGTAAGCAGAACTGGCGATGCGGGATGAACCGAACGCCGCGCTAAGGTACCCAAGTGTCCGCTCATCAGATACCACAAAAGGCGTTGGTACCTCCAGACAGCAGGACGGTGGCCATGGAAGTCGGAACCCGCTAAGGAGTGTGTAACAACTCACCTGCCGAAGGTACTAGCCCTGAAAATGGATGGCGCTCAAGCGGACCACCGATGCGCGGCCGCCGGCGCGAGCGCGAGGCGCCGGCGAGTAGGAGGGCGCGGGGCTCGCGGCGCAGCCTTGGGCGCGAGCCTGGGTGAAGCGGGCCCCGGTGCAGATCTTGGTGGTAGTAGCAAATATTCAAATGAGAACTTTGAAGACTGAAGTGGAGAAAGGTTCCGTGTGAACAGCAGTTGGACACGGGTGAGCCGACCCTAAGAGACAGGAAAACTCCGCCGAACGCGGCTGGTTCTGTCAGCCCGTCCGTCGAAAGGGAATCGGGTTAATATTCCCGAGCCAGCGCGTGGATGGTGGGCGGCGACGCGAACGAACCCGGAGACGCCGGCGGGAGCCCTGGGAAGAGTTCTCTTTTCTTCTTAACTGCCTCCTGCCCTGGAATCGGTTTAGCCGGAGCGAGGGCTACACGGCAGGCAAAGCACCCTAAGTCTTGGGGTGTCCGGCGCGCTCCCGACGGCCCGTGAAAATCCGGGGGAGCGGTTCGTTCTCACGCCTGGTCGTACTCATAACCGCATCAGGTCTCCAAGGTGAACAGCCTCTAGTCGATAGAGCAATGTAGGTAAGGGAAGTCGGCAAAATGGTTCCGCAACCTCGGGAGAAGGAATGGCTCTGAAGGCTGGGCGCAGGGGTCCTAGGCTCGAGGCCGGCTGGCTGCGCGGGGACTACGGCCTCACGGCTGCGGATCCCGCGCGGCCGTCCGGCGGACGGCCTAGGAGCGCTCCGGCTCTCCCTGCGCGACGAACAGCCGCTTCAGAACTGGCGCGGACAAGGGGAATCCGACTGTTTAATTAAAACAAAGCATTGCGATGGCCCGCGAGGGTGCTGACGCAATGTGATTTCTGCCCAGTGCTCTGAATGTCAAAGTGAAGAAATTCAACCAAGCGCGGGTAAACGGCGGGAGTAACTATGACTCTCTTAAGGTAGCCAAATGCCTCGTCATCCAATTAGTGACGCGCATGAATGGATTCGTGAGATTCCCACTGTCCCTATCTACTGTCTAGCGAAACCACAGCCAAGGGAACGGGCTTGGAAGAATCAGCGGGGAAAGAAGACCCTGTTGAGCTTGACTCTAGTCTGTTACTGTGGAACGACTTGATGGGTGTAGAATATGCGGGAGGGGCAACCCGACAGTGAAATACCGCAACCGTCAACGTTGTTTTACTTACTCGGTGGCGCGGAGGGAGGCTCGCCTCACTTCTGGATCCAAGCCGCTTCGTGCGCGCGATCCGCGTCGGGGACACTAACAGGTGGGGAGTTTGGCTGGGGCGGCACGTCTGTTAAAAAATAACGCAGGCGCCCGATTTTGAGCTCAATGAGAACAGAAATCTCATGTGGACCGAAAGGGGAAAAGCTCGGTTGATTTTGATTTTCAGTACGAATACAAACCGCGAAAGCGTGGCCTATCGATCCTCTCGTCTTTGGGAATTTCAAGCTAGAGGTGTCAGAAAAGTTACCACAGGGATAACTGGCTTGTGGCTGCCAAGCGTTCATAGCGACGTAGCTTTTTGATCCTTCGATGTCGGCTCTTCCTATCACTGCCTCGCAGCGGGGGCCAAATGCAGGATTGTTCACCCACCAACAGGGAACGTGAGCTGGGTTTAGACCGTCGTGAGACAGGTTAGTTTTACCCTACTGCTGTCTGTTTTTCTACGGTAATTTGGTTCAGTACGAGAGGAACCACCAATTCGCATCATCGGTATAGCCGCCGCCGGAAACGGCGATGCGGCGAAGCTGCCATGCGCCGGATTATAACTGAACGCCTCTAAGTTAGAATCCATGCCGGAAGGAAAGCCACCTACCGGCCCGGGGACGCCACGAGCAACGGTAGCACTGCCTGAGCCGCGAGCGACCACAATTCACGGACCCGGGCCGACGAATCCCTTGCAGACGACTTGAATAAGGAACGGGGTATTGTACGCGGCAGAGTGGCCTTGTTGCCACGATCCGCTGAGATTCAGCCTTGGTTCTGACGATTTGTTGCGCGCGCGCAACAACCCTCAGGGCCTCTCCCGTTCCTCAGTCGCTCTCTCGGCGCTCTCCCCCTCTCGCCTCTCCTCCGAGCCCCACTCGCTCGGGGGCGGAGCTGAGGGGGCGAGAGCGCGATTTCTGCCCCAAGGCAGCGCGCAGGCCACTGCGCAGCCACACCCGGCTCTCCCCGAGCCGCCACTGGGCGCTCCCGCGGTCCCCTCCGGGCTGAATGCGGCCTCCGGAGCGGGCGGCGCGAGCGTCTGAGTCTACTCAGAGCCTTCCACGCTCTTCTTTGCGTTCCAAAGCACCCACTTCACCGTTACCTCCACCGCCCTCGCCACCGCCCACGCCGCCGCTACCATTCCGGCCACCCTCCCCACCCTCATCCCCACCTTGCCCCCGCCGCCCGTTGCAGCTGCCGTCGCCGTCGAGCCCGCCCTCCGACGCTAGCCCCCGCCCTTTACCGCCGCCCTCGCCGCCCTCACCGCGGCCCTCGCCGCCACCCTCGCCTCCGTGTGACACTCCGCCTCCCGCCGCCGCCGCCCCGCCCTCCAGCATGCCGCCGCTCTCACCCTCTCCCCTCCAGCCGCCCCACCGCCCTAGCTGGCCGCCCCCCCCTCGCCACCACCGTCACCTCCACCGCCCTCGCCGCCGGCCTGCCCCAAGGCAGTGCGCAGGCCACTACGCAGACACACCCGGCTCTCTCCGAGCCGCCACGAGCCGCTCCCGCAGTCCCCTCCGGGCTGAATGCGGCCTCCGGAGCGGGCGGCGCAAGCGTCCTACCCCCCTCAGAGCCTTCCATGCGCTCTTCTTTGCGTTCCGAAGCACCCTCTGTAGCATCACCCAGTCACCTCCCTTGCCACTCTCCTTGCGCACTTGGACGAGGCGTCGCCAGGCACGCACGCCGCTCCCTCCAACCCCGTGTCGGCCGGCCGCCGCCCTCGCCTCCAGCCGCCCCGCCACCCTCACCGGCGTCGCAAGATCTCTTACACTACCCCCGGCCCTTGCCGCCGCCCTTGCCCCGGCCCTTGCGCCGCCGCCTCCCGCCCCGCCGCACCGCACTCACCCCCGCCCCCCTCGGCCTGCTGCCACTCTCACCACCCCTCGCCCTCGCCGCCGCCGCCCTCGCCGTCGCCACCGTCTCTGCCCCCTCCCTCGCCGCCGGGGCCCGGCCTCGCGGCCACGGCACCCTTGCCCCCACCACCCTCCTTCGACCTTCCGCCCCCGCCCCTGCCCCCTCGCCGCCGCCCTCCGCCCCCCTCCCGCCTCGTTCCCCCTTGGGTTCGTCAAGCGCCCGCCGTTCAAGTTTCGGGCGTTCATGCCTAAGTGAGGGTGTGTGCGTCTTGGGTCCCGGGGTTGTGTTTTTGTGTGAACGGGAATGCGCCACGTGTGATTTTCGGGGCCTGGGGTTGTGCGTTTATGTGAACGGGAATGTGCCGCCCTGAGACGGGCAAAGGTTCACGTGCTCGAGTGTTTCTTCCGCGCCCACCCAAGCGGGCGGACTCACTCGCTGCCGGCTTCACCAAGACCGCGACAAGCTCGTCGGCATGCCGCCACGCAAGCGCAAGGCGGCTAAGACCTCCGCGCCGGTGGTGGTCGAGCTCTCATCCGACGACGAGCCGGCGGCCGACTCGCGCCGTCGCTCGCGGCGCAAGCAGGTTCGCGCACATGCGCCTCGCTCTGTGGCGTGCGTACGGCCGCCCCTAACACACGTCCGCCTTGACCGGACAGAACACCAACCACGAGCCGATGGGTCCGG